GGAAATAATGAGGAGGAGGGGGCGAGGGCCAGGGGGAAAGCTCACCACCCGCCCACGCGCCACCAAAGCCACAAAAAGGAGTCGGTCCGGAGCGCCGCAGGCGGGCACCCCAGGCACAGGCGCAGGGGAGGGGAGGGCGCACCGGCCCCGCGGGAGAGGGGCCCGGACCCGCAGGTGACAGGCGTAGGTTACTGAGATGGGGGGACTGAGGAAGTGACTGGAGGGGACCCTCCGGAGGGAGAGCTCTCCGGAGAAGCGCGGCGGGTGCAGCCACATTCGCAGAGGGATCAAGGCCAAGATCCTTAAAACGGTCTCGGGAATATTGACCCTCAAAGAGGACGAGTCCTAAAGTATTTCTAGAGCCAACGTTAAAGCCACAAGGGTAAGAGCTTTCTATACAAGTCAGAGGTAGGTTCAAAACTCCCTCGCTTCTGAGCCAGAAATCACGTTGGAGGGAGAAATACGTGGCCTGTAGTGGCCGCGTTCAACAAAATTTGGGTCACTTAATAAGAGAGACCTGACTTGTTATTAAAAAGGGAAAGATACCACCATCCTTAAACTAATTTCACACCAGCGAAAGACAAGAAAGTTTGGGTGGGTAAATACATCTGTTGTTGCAATAAATACTTCTGCAATCTGGGGTAAGTTACCCAGTTAAATAAATGGTCATTAGCTCATACGTAAGATCCTCTTATTGAGATAATCTATTAAATGTAATTCCTATTAAAAAATGAAGAACATTACTATCTCACCCAAATAGAGATGCAGTGTTTATCACTTAGGTTTGAACACTAACATCTCCGTCCCTGAAGGCAGTTAATCATTAAACAAAAACAAAAATGTAAGAATTATTTTTTCAGAATATACTAGTAAGGAAGAGAGAAAAAAAATCAGTCAGATAAACATTTTGTTACTCATAAAAAAGCAACAAGTTAACACAAGTACTGAGATAAGAGGAAAATATGCAAATTAAGCTCTTTAAAGCTACCAATACACACTTAGAGGCACTGTTTACATTAGAAATCTAAGAAAAGCAGAAGGTAAAGTAGAAGATAAAGTATAAGAAATAATGGCCTCCTGGGGAGGACAAGTTTAGGAGAGACACAATGAAAATATATCACTCTAATGGCCCCCAAGTTTCACCCACAAACCGGAAAGGTTAGTCAAAATCAAGGAAGGCAACCATGAATCTTGGCACATATAAACCCAAGCCTTGAGCAAAAGAAAGAACATGTGATAATAAATGACAGCATCACAAAACAAGGGAAAAAAATGAGATCACATTTTTAAAAGTTGAAATGTGGGGAAATACGGAGAATATTCTAATTGAAGTGTAAGAAATATAACAAATAAGGAAATATTTAAAAGAAAAGCAGATAGCAATGAATTATTTCGATAATGATTTTTGCAACATGATAGGTTAAGTTAGGAATTTCCAAGATGAATGTGTGACTAGTTGCTTCAAACTGGTGATGCCTGACATGCTTTCCTGCCTGGTTTTCAGTAGGGACAGTGCATTCTAGTGTCACACTGACAAATTTACAAAAATAGCAACATAAAAAAAAAAACCTAAGAAAAATTCTAGACTACAAAAAAAATTATCCATGCAACTTCACCTGAAGTTGAGTGTTTTTAAAAGAAGAAAAATAGTTTTTGAGCGAAAACAAAATTTGAGCAAAGAGAAGACCAAAAAATGGTTACTGAAAATATCAATATTAAGACACATTGGAATAAAATGTAAATAAGTTTATCCTATCATTTACACAGTAAATAAGACAGAAACTGCTTCCTGATTGCCTTAGGCTCCTAATGACTTGGCCAATGCTAATGAAATGTGGGAATTAAAACAGTAATCTTTAAATTTGAATAGCATCTTTTATTCAGGAATTACAAACTAATTCTCAAACACAAAACATAAAAGTGTGTAATAAGGATGAACATGGACTTGGAAAATGATAAACAGAATAAATGAGCATAAAATATCTAATAATGACTTTATTATAAAGAATAATGATGTAGTACAATTATGAATTTATTATTCACAAATACATACTCATTTCCCCTCAAGCCCATCCTTTATGTTAGAACTGTATGATTGTAAGAAATGACATAAGTGATACACAAAGGTTTATGCCCTCCAAGTCAAATAGGACAATGATAAACTTAATTACTATAAATTATCTTCCCCTTAGAATACTCATTATAGCCACTGAGCACTGGTCAGTGTAAACCCAGGTTAAAATAAATGAAGAAAAAAAGAAAGATAGTTAGAAAAATGACACTACTCAGGACATGTGTGAGGATAAATTATCTAGGGGGAAAACATTTGATTCTACACAGGCATCTTATATCTGGAGATAAAGATGCAAGCAAGTATTGGAAGAAGTTAAAACAAAGTAAACTTTATAAATCTAGATATCAAAAGAGTCAACTTCAGGAACAAGAAATAGTACAAGTGCAATACATGAACTATTTCATGTGTGATGTACAGGTAAAAAGCACATCAATTTTTTTATCCCATAAAGAAGGCATTCAGACTGGCTACAAAAAGAGTAGCAAAGATAAAATATTGTAACAGATATACAAGATTCTTTTAACTTAATAATGAAAGGACTACTGCATGTTTTCAGATGGCAACGTATTAAGATAAATATGCAGGCAGATATCCGAAAGCATTAAAACACATTCAGAGTTCTGAATAGCACATACATTTGTAATAAACAGAGAAAGCATTTAGAATTTGAACGCTTTTAAGATATGGCAACTCCGCCAGTGACTGTGTTAGCAAAGCAATGCTTACCGCCATAGCACTTTCTAAGGACATTTTTTCCCCATCTTTTTAAATTCAAATACAGTTGGCTATCTCCCTACATTTTTAAAGCAGCACCATTTACGTAGCATATTGCTCTTTTTGTCGTGTCAACTCTTTGTTTTTTGGCTTTAGCTGCAGGTGGTGTTTTCCATCTATGAATTTCTGGGAATATGGTCTGTGTTGGCCATATAAGGATGTCTATTTGAGCCATATGTTTTGCTGTCATGTGTCTCATTTTGTCTGTCTGGGATGTCAGGACTGATTTCCACACCGTTGCTTGAATAGACCAAATACAAATTTGTAAGAGCAGAGAGGAAAAAGCTGGGGCTGGAGCCCAAACACCACTGTCAAAACATATATTAGAGAGGAAATGCAATATCCTGTAAACATTTGCACCCTTCTTCTCACATCTTATCTGTGACTGACATCATCACAACTGCATAGTTTAAGACAGAATCTGCTTGCTCAAGTTCAGAAGTTTGCAGTGTGGGTATGCGTGCAGCTTAATCAGACAGACCCCACATCTTTGGAGGTCATGGCAAGGCACACTTCTACTCTGAGAGCCCTGCGTCCTGCAGCCAACTTGACCCAGCCTTGAACTTGGGGAAGGGAAGCTGTCTCATGCTTTTCTTGTTTTAGTGAACAAACGAAACTCTGATTAAACTTTCTGACTAATCTGACAAGAAAGCATAGCCCCCATTTTATACTCTCATAGCCTCTAGCATTTCTCTCTTGTAAGTCATCACAGTCTTAATCAATTAACGAGCTGGATCGTTATTGGGTTAATAAGTGTCTCCCATACTAGACTGTAAGCCCTCTGAGAACAGAGACCACGCGTCTTGCTCACTGCCACATTACCAGGAATTCTTATGCGGTCCTTGCAATATTTACATTATGAATAAATAAATGAGAGCAAAAAGCTCAGTGTCACTAGCAACCAACTCCTACTGCTAATTGCAGTCACAATTCCTTCTAGAGAATTGCAAAAGGAAGTAACGGTGGGGAAGGTGGCT